ATATTAAGCAGCGTCGTTCAATTCATACTCATAAGCATCGATAAAGAAATTTAAGTTAGAATCAAACAGATTAAGAGAGAGTAAAACAGAATGATCCAGAATCGCAGAATGTAAAATAATATGACTTCTTCAACATCATGTTTCAGGGTGCACCGCCTTCTTACTCCTAATTGAATGGGGGCGGGATAGGGACAGTTTAAAGCAGACCATGGCCGCCAAAGAAGGTATCCGAAGCCCGGATGAGAAAGAAGGAGTGAGAGCAGTGATGACGTCTCCTGTACAACTTAGCCATTGCCCTTGTGGCATTGCTGTTATCGAACATGATACAGATAAAGTCGTTGCTGTGCTTAACAACAACCGCGCAGGTTGTTGGGGACCTGTAGGAAACTGCGAAAGTCCAGGATCAAAACCTGCATCACTCCGACTGCCGGATGGGGAGGTAGCGGCACGGCGGCGGCTGTAAAGATCGACAAGAAGAGCTAGTAACGGAGTGACAGTGGAACATCTTTTCAGAGGTTAAGAGCAGGAGCTGTACAACGAGGCAGCAATGTACCAACTGAATATGGTGTGAGTCTCGTCAGCGAAGCGCCGAGGCTCTGGACTTCTGAACCCCTGCGGATGGAACGTATTCCACTCAGGTGTCAATATCACTATATGCGCTTAGACCCATGATGGCGGTTCGGTAGAATCCAGCATGGTTGAATGAATCATTGAATGGAAGCCTGTTAAACGAAGAGTGACAATCATGTGCTTGCAGTTGCAACAGGCTAAGGTCTTGATCTTCTCATGGATGTACACGTTCAATTTTGAGGGAGAACGCGAGTCAATTGCTGAGGAAGTGGAATATGCTCTGTGTGAAGTGCCAAATACAGAGTCCCTCATACTGATGGGCGATTTTAATGCGCATCTCGGAGCAAACACTGAAAGTGGAATGGCGTGATTGGAAAAAAACGGCCCTAGCGACCTCAACAATAACGGCATGAAGTTGTTGCGGTTTTGAGCAAACAACGGATTGTTCGTTATGAACACCTTTTTGGAGCATCGAAGCCGGCAACTGTGTATCTGTTATACGATG